TTCTGGTCACAGGGTGTGGTGGGGTCTGAGTGACATTCCACTAACCTTGTAAAGGGTCGTTTTAGCACATACTGGCTCAAGAAAACGATTTAAACATATGAAAAAGTTGCACGAAGTTCCTTTAAGATCTGCCCACAAGCATCATGAACACATGCCTGGTCTATATAATGGTCAGAACTGGTCTCTAATGGCCCTTTCCACCACCTCCTACTGAGCACACTTTGAATTGACTCTACAGGATTCTAACTCCCGATCCAGGGTGCATGTGCAGCGCGTTACTGCAGTGCTGCGGTTTAGTGGCGAGCTACGCGGCGCATATATCTGGACCGGTAGTCTGTCAGAAACTAAGCAGCTGTCATTGTATTTGGACTCTCGAGATCACAAGTTTACGGGAGAATTGACGTTGAATGGTTTAAAATAACCTAAAATAACCATTCACTCCTCCTCTCGGTTATCTTGTCTGAGATGCTTCTACCTGAACCGGAAACCCGCAATGCCGGATGAAACGAGAACGCGCTAAACACCAGTCACTGTTTTCCAGGTCCAAACGTTCTTTTGTTGTCCGTGACTCCAAATGGTGTTTTTCTTTTAGGGACACTGATAGTTTGTCCTGAAGTTGAAGTGGTAGCAGCTGGCTGTTTCTCCTCTGATATTATTGAGTCGTGAACCTCTCACACCAGCGGTGTTTTGTTGCTAAATACTTGAGTACGTAATGCGGCGGTTCGGTGAGACGGACAACCGGAGGGTCCAGTAGTTGCTTTCAGTCCAAAATGTATGATTGGTGATTGGACCATGTGATATTTGAGTTTTCATTTTTTTAATAAATCTGCAAAAATTTCTAAAATTGTGTGTTTTTCTGTCAGTATGGGTGCTGTGTGTACATTAATGAGGACAAAAAATGACTTAAATAGATTTTAGCAAACAGCTGCAAAACAAAGAGTGAAAAACTGACAGGAGCCTTACAGTTTATCTCCATCGGTTTGCCTCAATTCCTGAAAAACTCTAATATTTAGCGTTCCCACTGTATGGGTTGCCAGGCTAGTAAAAAACATGAATGTATTAAAGATTTTACTCGCAATTTTAGTATCATTCTCTTGTGGGAATCCAGTTCAATTATTCCATAAAAAATAAAAGCTTTTGTATCATTTCTATCTTTGAAAGCACGAGTTAGCTAGTGACCGGTTTTGCTAAAGTTATTAAGAGACACTTGTGTCTCCGGAGTGCAGACCCTGCTATAGTGTTGGAAGCAAGTTCAAGATCCTGGTTCTGGTCTATAGGGCCTTACATGGACAAGCACCATCTTACATCGGTGATCTTCTTAGTCCCTACACCCCCAGCAGGTCCCTGAGGTCCAGTGGCCAAAGCGTACTGGTTGTGCAGCATCAGGCTAAAGGTCAAAGGTGACAGATCATCTGCTGCTGTGGCCCCCAGACTCTGGACCTCTCTCCCCCTGAGCCTGAGATCAGTGGACTCAGTGGTCTCCTTTAAAAAGCAGCTGAAACTCACCTGTTCAGGCTTTGGTGTGACCTTCATCACCACCTCTCCTTGTTCTGCTCTTTCTAATAATTTCTCAAAATTTTATGATTTTTTTTCATCTTTTATTTTACTTTTAATTTTTGCTCTTGTGAAGCACCTCGTGATTTTAACCTTGAGACTTGCTTTATGGAAGATCTTTCTTCTTTTTCTTCTAAAAATTGTGGAGCAAAAATACATTTATGTTATTGGTGGAGGTTTGTAGACAAATGCGAGAGAACCACTGTGTTTAAATCTCCCCAACGTATTTATATCTATTCTATGTTAGAATGTGGGATGCATGAAAACAATGTTTTAAGTTAATTTGTTTTCCACATTTGCCATTGCAGCTTTAAGTGTGGCGCCACATCTTATCGTTGGCAGCTTGGTAAGACTCTTCTGGGACACGCTGGAAAACTTCTGTGTTGCATCTGATCTGAATCAAGTCATAACGGCTTCTGTTTGCCACAGAAAACTGCCACTGCCATGACGCACCACAGATGTGTGAATTGGGGCTAAATCAGCTCCGCGAGGGAGAGGCGCACACGCATTGATGGAGATGCTCTTGGACTTGTCTGTCAGCTCGGGATTGTTGCAAAACAATTCCCCGCCAGGACAAAAGAGGGCGTAGGTTTCCTGCCACCATTACAGTCACGTATCCGGTCCACCATAGTGTATTTAGTAATGTGTTTACATTGTTTAGATGTCTTTCAGAAACTTTTGAACACGAACAAATTTGTCCCTCATCCACTTCTTTGGCACCTCTAAACTCACGTTTCTCGTCTTTTCTGTCCACGAATAAAACCCTTGCTGCACATCTTACTCCTTCAGTCACGTGTGAATAAACATTCATATTTTCACACGTTTTCTGCGACGCGTTCTTCAATCTGTTCCGTGCCTGAAGCTAAATATCTTCTTAATTTCTGAGGGGGCAAAGGTGGTGCTGTTGACAAATGTACAGGAAGCAGCGTCTTGCCGAATGACAAGCATGTGGTTTCCATCACTTTCGACTGATAGTCAAAAATTGGAGGATGTCTCCGTCACCCTCTGCGAGTCCATCGGAGAGCTCTTTTGCTGGCATGGCATCGCCTGGAAAGGTCTACTCCAAGGTACTGGAGAGGAGGGTCCGATCGATAGTTGAATCTCAGATAGAGGAGGAGCAATGTGGTTTTCGTCCTGGCCGTGGAACTGTGGACCAGCTCTATACCCTTGCAAGGGTGATGGAGGGGGCATGGGAGTTTGCCCAACCAATCCACATGTGTTTTGTGGATTTGGAGAAGGCTTATGACCGTGTCCCCAGGGGCACCCTGTGGGGGACGCTCCAGGAGTATGGGGTGGGTGGCTTTCTGTTAAGGGCCATTCAGTCCCTTTACCAGAGGAGCGTGAGTTTGGTCCGCATAGCCGGTAGTAAGTCGGACCTGTTCCCAGTGAGGGTTGGACTCCGCCAGGGCTGCCCTTTGTCACCGGTTCTGTTCATCACTTTTATGGACAGAATTTCTAGACGCAGCCGTGGTGTGGAGTGTGTCGAGTTTGGTGGCAGGAGAATCTCGTCTCTGCTTTTTGCGGATGATGTGGTCCTCCTAGCTTCATCCAGCTCTGACCTTCAGCTCTTGATGGGTAGGTTCGCGGCCGAATGTGAAGCGGCTGGGATGAGGATCAGCACCTCCAAATCTGAGACCATGGTTCTCGACCGGAAAAGGGTGGCTTGCCACCTCCGGGTCGGGGGAGAGGTCCTACCTCAAGTGGAGGAGTTTAAGTATCTCGGGGTCTTGTTCACGAGTGAGGGTAGGAGGGATCGGGAGATCGACAGGCGGATTGGTTCGGCGTCTGCAGTGATGCGGACGCTGAGCCGATCTGTCGTGGGGAAGAGGGAGCTGAGCCAGAAAGCCAGGCTCTCGATTTACCGGTCGATCTACGTCCCAATCCTCACCTATGGTCATGAGCTTTGGGTAATGACCGAAAGAACGAGATCGCGGATACAAGCGGCCGAAATGAGTTTCCTCCGTAGGGTGGCCGGGCTCAGCCTTAGAGATAGGGTGAGGAGCTCGGACATTCGGGAGGGACTCGGAGTAGAACCGCTGCTCCTCCGGATCGAAAGGAGCCAGTTGAGGTGGTTTGGGCATCTGGTCAGGATGCCTCCTGGACGCCTCCCCGGGGAGGTGTTTCGGGCATGTCCTGCCGGCAGAAGGCCCCCGGGTCGACCCAGGACACGTTGGAGAGGTTACATCTCCAATCTGGTCCGGGAACGCCTTGGGGTCCTGCCGGAGGAGCTGGTGGACAAGGCCGGGGAGAGGACGGCCTGGAGCTCCCTAGTTGGGATGCTGCCCCCGCGACCCGGACCCGGATAAGCGGAGGAAGACGAGACGAGAGACGAGACGAGAGGCATCGCATGTCTCCACACCGACGCAAAAGTGTAAATGAGGCTTTAGGCTTCTCCACTGTGTGCTGCACCTGTTTTAGAAACAACTTCGTTGTGGTCCCAAACAGACCGAGTCAGGCCAAAAACGAGATTGCAAAAGATTGCAGTCACTGACTGACTACGGTGTGGAGTCTCTGTTTAATCCAGAGTTTTGTCTTGCTGCAGCCTTTTCTGGGCCGTTTCCTTTTGGATCCTGGCTAAAAGCCACTGACTGGTCCAACCAGGTCCATCTCAAATGGTCTAAATCACCATGTTCTCCATTGTTGCATTGTGTCATGTCTCACAATTTTTTTCTGAGGTCCGTCTCTCTACGACCCCACCCATTAGAGCTTGTCGGTTGTAATGGAAAACCACCCAAGCCGAGAAAAGCATGTGGAGTGGCTCTGAGTAGATGCTTGTGGGAAAGGACCATTTCTACAAACTGAGGCTGATCCATTCCTCTCCAGCAGCCACGATCTGTTCAGTTTACACATGGTTTGAGTTTTCGACACAGATTGTCCTCAAACGCTGAGAGGGTCTGCAGTGTTCACCCACATTTTCACAATCAATGTTGTTGTGACTGTGCGTCATTGCATAAACAACGCCAGTGGCATCTCTCTCTCTCTCTCTCTCTCTCTCTCTCTCTCTCTCTCTCTCTCTCACACACACACACACACGCACGCGCGCGCGCGCGCACACACACAGAGGTAAAGTTTATGTTGTTTTTTAGGAATATGAAGGGCAGAAGGGTTCATTTACCTGGGAGAACAAAACGCAGACGTAAATAGAGTGAGAGAGCGGTTTAATAAATCAGAGAAGAGCTAAAGAAAGAGAGGGAGAGGATTCAGCCTCCATCTGCAGAGGGAGTCAGGAGACATGCCTTCTGGCAGGAGCTGAAGACAGCTGTGTTTGGTGTGGTATTTTTAAACGCATCAATGCTGCTCCAATCCCTGCGCCTCGCCTGACCTATTTTTAGCCAGGGCTGGCCATTGTTCTATTTCTGTCACCTGTGGGCCCCGGAGTTGTTGATTCACATGCAAATGAAGCTCCCTCCCCTGTCTCTGCCTCCGCACAGCTCAGAGGCAGCGCGCACACGGGCAGCGCACGGCGTCGCACTCGCAGCTCTGTCCCTGCTCACACACGCAGCTGGAGAGGGAGATAAATGAACGGACCGGAGGAAATTGTGAGGAAGAAGCTGGACTTGTAGTGTCTGGAGACAGGCTGCAGAGAGAGAGAGGGAGAGAGAGAGAGAGAGAGAGAGAGAGAGAGAGAGAGAGAGAGAGAGAGAGAGAGAGAGAGAGAGAGAGAGAGAGAGAGAGAGAGAGAGAGAGGTCTCTCCCCCTCCTGAGTGGCTGAGGGCTGGCTCTTTAGTGACAGGAAACGCAAGGCTTGCGATGAGACCTGAGCGCTGAGTGGAGTATGCTGCAGACGATTTACGAGGGCGAGTCAAGTTTCTCCACAACAGAGGGGCGCGTTGGACACCAGCAGCTCCTCAGCCAGACCAAGATGCACAACGTGAACAGCTCAGGTGATCAGCTCCTCTCCTGCTTCTCCTCCTCACCCTGGAGGGTCGCCCATCCTCTTCTATTCTGAACCAGCTTCTACTTCTTCTGTTCTGTCTTCCACTCCTCTCACATTTCCATTTCTGTCTCATTTTCACTTTTTTGAGTGAAACAAGAAACTCGGCTTCACATCCCAGTAACCAGGTAGGACCAGACACCTGAAAAGCTCTTACTGCTGCAAACGTCTCTTTCTTGACGAGGCTGTGAAAACTCAGTGGGCTTTTTATTCTCGTTAACTGAAGTAATAGAGTGACTGAACTTTGCATTTCCTCTTCTGGAAACGAGCCTGTGTGAAGATGACAGGGATTTCGGGTTTTGTGTCATGGTGCACTTTTCAGGGAACAGGAAGAGCTGCAACAAAGATCCTGAAGTATGTGAGGCTTCTCTCACTGTTCTATTTTTGACCCAAGAACTGAACAGTTTACGTGGCTGACGTCAGAATGAGTAACATCCATTCTCTGTGTTGACTCGAGATGAGTCACAGTTAAATTGTTTCTCTTGTCTTTTGTTTATGCTGGAAGCCTGTTGGACTGAAACCCGTGTGTGTCCTGTGCACACTGGCTGAAGTGTGTGTGTCATGCAGTTGCTTCTTTTACATCTGAGTGCTTGCCACATTTAAAGTCCACGGCAGCGTGAGAAACATTTACTTTTTGATGAAGATGTTTGCAGAGATGAAGTCAGATCCCTGATAAACACTTGAAACATGACTACTTTATAAGAGGACATCTTTAGAGGCATGGGCTGAAGATGAAGAGAATAAAAAACACGGTATTTGGAAGACAGAGTGATGACACGGTACCCGCCTGTCAGGTTATCCAACCATCCCACTCCACTAACAGAGCTTTTGTAATTTATCTTGCAGCTTGTGAACCAAATCCGACGTATAACCAGTGCCTGCATCCAGGCTCCTTGCTTATTCTGTGGGTCAGCTATTCTTAGGTGAGTTATTTTCAGCTTATGGCATTAGCCTGCTAAGATTAGGCGTCTGTGCGTTATCATTCCATCTTGTATGCTGCTGATTTAACAGCGGTTTGGAACAGATATTTATAGAAACACTCTCAGCTGCCTGGTTAATTTGGTCTTTCCACTTTAGAATCAAAGCACGTGAAAAACATGATATGTGAACCTAATTTGAAAGGGTTGTTTAAAGAGGATGGCTCTAATAGTTTCATTTGTGAGGATTCTGTTCATGTTGGGGATGTTGCTCCAGCTTTGGGTTGTGTATAATTTCTTTTTCCAAGGATCAGCAAACTAAAGGGCTTAGTCACAATTTTATTTTGATCAGCGTCCGGACCTTCCAGGTTCTGTGAAAAGCAATCCTCAGGTGGGCTCTTGAACACGGGGAGACTAATGAGCTTCCCTGGGAGAAAAATATCACGCAAATATGGAAAAAGGGACCTTCCAGGCTGGAACCATGCAGCACCCTTTATGTCCGCTCATCTGTGTCTGTTCAGGCCACGTTTATCTGAAGTGTTTACAACTGAGGGGATTGTGGAAGAACACACACACACACACACACACACACACACACACACACACACACACACGCACGCACGCACGCACGCACGCACGCACGCACGCACACACACACACACGCACGCACGCACGCACGCACGCACGCACACACACACACACACAGGGTGTGGGCTTTCAAACTCGTTAAACAAGACTACATTTGCATTTGTTTGGGCTGCAAAGTGATTCTTTTGTGAATTCGTTTAATTGATCAGATCATCTGAAGCCAGTGTTTTATTAATATGTCTGGGAAGAGGGGCCTCCCAGTTTGGCTGGATGAGGACTACAGGTAAGGGTGGGGCAGCAGACGAGTGGACGTATCGGCATGGATGAGTAGAGAACACTGGTGATAACCCAGCTCTGTTAGTAGACAGACTCTAAGCCACAGCCCTGGCTCAGCTGCAAGGACGAGCCTAAGACTTCAAAATAAAAGACCCGTTTCCTGCTTTAGACGTACCAGCTGCTCAAAATAACAAGGCACTTAATGAGAGATCCAGCACCACATCGCAGTCCCGAGCACTGGCTTATTTTCTGCCCTCAAACATCTTCTGTATCTCTGTTTCTATTTATACAGGCAGACGGGGAATTTAGATGAGCAACTCGCTCTATTTCAGACTAACAACAGTAAAGTTCAAAGTGGAACTAAGTCGCTTTTCTCTTTAATTTAATCAAAACTGGCAACTTATGAAAAGGATGTGGGCGGTTTATGATTTTATTCCCCTGAAATATTCAAAACTCTAAATTAAATCAGTCTAGTGAAACTTGGATTGCACTGTTTGAGCGGTAACTAAACTACCAACATGATGTCGCACTTGAACACAATGTTGTAGCGCACAGACAGAGATCTTAGTAACATAGATGTCAGTTTAAAGGCTGCAGACGTACAAACGGGATGCGGCAGGTTTCTGATGAAAGCATCATCTCCATCTGGATGCTTTAAGCCCGGAAAGGTTTACTGACCGTTGTGATAACGGTCCACACGGGGTCAGTTCTCTAACGGCAAAATCTCTCAGATATAAATGATCAAAGCCTAAATTATAGTTTATATTATAGTTGGCAGTAATCTCATCTTTATTATTTTACAACCACTCTGAAGAACATTGCTTGTGGACAAATTCCTCTCTTTGTGATGTAATGAGTAGCATACTTTAGATCTGGTGCTTTTAACCTACTGAGAACCAATTCAGTCAGGTTTTGATGTGTTTGACTCGTCATGTTCAGCAGTAGGGTCACGTCTGCAGTCGTGTGCGTCTCTGGGATGGGAAGCCTGCTAATGTGGCCTGAGGCAATAAAAAAAAAAACACACGCAGCCATCAAACATCTCAAATTAAAGCTGTGATTGTCAGTCTGACTACCACTGGGGCTAATGAGAGGCAGATCAGTGATAGAAATAAACACGTCGGGGATACTGGCGGTGCGACGCTGCAGCGGGAGAGTGGTCACAGGCAGTGAGTCACCCAATCGCCCCTTGGCAGGCCCTCTGTAGGGAGGGATCTAGGCACGGTACAGGGTGCTTGTTGCTCCCCCGTGCTAAAAACACATTTGGGACCTGTCATTCATAAATCTCTTGTTTACCAGCGCCTACAGACGCTGCACTTTCCACGAATCGAGAGGCACCTCACCATCACCCGATATGAAGCATTCCTCTTAGGGGCTCCAGATCACCGGCGACGCTGCTTCAGAAGAGGCAGGCTTTGCTTTAAGTGATGATTTCATAAGTTACTCAAATGTGACACTTTTATTTTAGCCCATGTTAAACTGAGCAGGCGGCCTCACAACTGCGACAGTATTTATCACGTTGTCTATATTAAGACCCTGCTCAGAAAAACATTTAAATTTAGCTCAAGCTACTGCTAGTTCCCCGCTCTCCTCTGCCTGAAGAGAACTGTCATCATACAAAACACCAGATTTCAATTTCAGGGGTCTATCTATCTATCTATCTATCTATCTATCTATCTATCTATCTATCTATCTATCTATCTATCTATCTATCTATCTATCTATCTATCTATCTATCTATCTATCTATCTATCTATCTATCTATCTATCTATCTATCTATCTATCTATCTATCTATCTATCTATCTATCTATCTATCTATCTATCTATCTATCTATCTATCTATCTATCTATCTATCTATCTATCTATCTATCTATCTATCTATCTATCTATCTATCTATCTATCTATCTATCTATCTATCTATTTATCTATCATCTATCTATCTATCTATCTATCTATCTATCTATCTATCTATCTATCTATCTATCTATCTATCTATCTATCTATCTATCTATCTATCTATCTATCTATCTATCTATCTATCTATCATCTATCTATCTATCTATCTATCTATCTATCTATCTATCTATCTATCTATCTATCTATCTATCTATCTATCTATCTATTATCTATCTATCTATCTATCTATCTATCTATCTATCTATCTATCTATCTATCTATCTATCTATCTATTATCTATCTATCTATCTATCTATCTATCTATCTATCTATCTATCTATCTATCTATCTATCTATCTATCTATCTATCTATCTATCTATCTATCTATCTATCTATCTATCTATCTATCTATCTATCAATCTATCTATCTATCTATCTATCTATCTATCTATCTATCTATCTATCTATCTATCTATCTATCTATCTATCTATCTATCTATCTATCTATCATCTATCTATCTATCTATCTATCTATCTATCTATCTATCTATCTATCTATCTATCTATCTATCTATCTATCTATCTATCTATCTATCTATCTATCTATCTATCTATCTATCTATCTATCTATCTATCTATCTATCATCTCTCTCTCTCTCTCTCTCTCTCTCTCTATATATATATATATATATATATATATATATATATATATACAGTACATGTATATAATTACACACAGCCAGAAGCTTTGTTGAAGCGGGAACTGCGCCTACTCACCTTAAGGGCTTTATTCTGTTTGCTCCTCATTGTCATTCAGTTCGGAGTTATTCTTGTCGACACGGTGAACGGTGAGAGGACAAGAATAGAATGTGCACATGAGGCCGTTGTGGTTTGCTCAGGGTCCGTTTCAAAAAGCTTACATTATTGAAAACGGCTTCAAGTGACTGTTCAGGTGCTGAAAGTGTGTTTCTGTGAAAATATTAACAGTTAATATGTTATTTTCCAGTGAAAAATAATGTAGCAACACAGAAAACGGATTTTATTATAAAATATAATTTGCTTGAACCACTATGACATTTGGGGAATTGGTGTTGTATTACAGCAGCAGTTTTCTTTGACCTAGCTGTTAGCCTGTTGGAATAGCTGTTAGCTCATCTCTAACTCTCCAAACTAAAGCTGTTCACAGAGCTTGCGTACAGGTAAGATATTAATTATTCACGGCTGCTCCATAGAAACCCACATCACAAGCTCTGAACTACCCTCTCTGTTAAACCACTCCGAGATGGTTTTAATGGAAGCTCTGCTTGTTGATCAAAGACGAGATCCTTACTGCCAGTCAGAATGAAACATGAGATTAATTAGACATCACAGTGGCATTTATTTCTGCGTGTGTGTGTGTGTGTGTGTGTGTGTGTGTGTGTGTGTGTGTGTGTGTGTGTGTGTGTGTGGGAGAGCTATATTTGGAGCCATTAAACAAAAGTAGCTCTAAGGCTGTCTGGCTTTCGAAGCCCCTCGTTGGTTCACAGGTTCACGGCTGCTCCTGGAACAGCGCCCGTTACAAAACGGTCCTTTGTCAAGTACTTCCAGGCTAAGATTAATATTCCCTGTCAGGAGAGAAATGGCTGTTCCACAGGTGCCCGTTCACTGTGCCCGCCTCTGCCGTTTGATTGAAGTTGTTTTTAGAACAGAGAGAGAGGGAAAATGAAAGCACCGGGGTCCCCTCTGTTTGCATTCTCTTTTTGAACAACTTATCACTTAAGAAGCACGGATTCTGCGGCAAGTCTCGGTGTGTTGGAGCGTTCTGTACTGTCTCCTCTCATTCCGTCTCCACCTGGGACTCCGTTTTCTTATATAAGAGCTGAAAAGCTGATGTAATAGTCAACATGTCACATTGGCACAGTAGGAAGGAGATGACATGCAGGGAGACTTGATATCCGCACATTGAGGGGAGACATAATTACGTCGCTGGCGTTGCCATGGCAGCTGCGAGTTAGGGTGGTGGATACCAGGGTGTGGGGGTTGTCGCAGACCGGGATTGCGCCACTTGCTTTTATGTTTCTATTTCTAATCATCGCCGCCGCCGCATGCACACGGGATGGTGGCAACAAAAAGCAGAAGAAAAGAACGACGAGGCTGCATGGTTAACCTGGTGGGAGTCGGAGAACAGGAGGGCACTGCCTCTCTGATCGTGCCATGATCTCAGATCTTTTGGCAGAACATATTTTATTGTTGCTGTTTTAATCCAGTTTGTGAGCAGAGTTTAACAACAAGGCTGTCACGCTCGTACGAGTATTTGTGTACAAGGACAGAGTTCTCCTGTGCTGAACAGGTGGTTTGGGAGCATTGCAGATATTTGTTCTCTCTGATGTGACACTTGAGAAGATTAAGGCAATGAAATGTCCCTCCAGCCTCTGGAGTTTTAAGTAGGTGGTAATATTTGCTCAGCTTGAAAACAAAAGAGACTGAATACAGTCTGAACAGTTTCATATTCTTAGAAAAGTAATCCATAATCAGCTTTGTTTAGGAGAAAATCACCTTCCATCATGAATGGAGACCGTTTAAAAGCTGTGGCTCAAACCGAAGAAGTTTCAATGTGGAGAAAAAACTGTAAACGTTTTTAGAGCTATGTTATAATCCTTTAGACCGCTGCCAAGTTCACATTACATGGATGTTTACATCTCTTATTTTGCATGCAGCTGCAGAGAGATGTAGCCCTTCCTGTGCAGCCTGGGGCACTTCCTGCTGGAATATCATCCGATTTCTGCTGGAATAACCACATAAAGTTAATCTGACTGATGCAAAGATTTATAAAACTGCATTTATGTGAACTGCAATTAAAGAGTTGTTGCCTTTGTTCTTGGACCAAGTCGTGGATTAGGGCTAGGGTTAGCCTGTCAGTTTGGTCAGAATGAAGCCCCATTCCTCCGTTCCGGTTGTTCACAGAGCCTACTACCACAAACAAGAGGCTAACTCCTCATTGTCCACGCCCAGCAATGTAAATTTGTCTTTTGTGCATTTCTTAGCCATTTGGGGCAAAATAATAAAAACAAAGAGATATCATCATCATCATCATCATCATCATCATCATCATCATCATCATCATCTTTCTTTATGTTTTTTGTTATTCTAGTTAAGCTCAGTGCTCACCTAAATCCTTTACAGGGATTGAAACACGGTGATGAGAAACCTCGAACAATCGCCGATCATTCTGTGTGGAATAAAAATTAAAGTTGTGTTCCTGTCTGGGGACTGATTTTCTCTGTGGTACAGTCTATACATAGAGCTTGGAGACCAAAGGGATGCCCTCTCTCACTTTGAATCAGCAAATTACTTCTAACAGAGGCATCATCTGGACTCAAGGGCAGAGACGGAAAGATCACAGGTACATAAACGCATGCAGCAGGTTCACAGCCGACGTTGTCTTGAATTACTTATGAGAGGAAAGAATATCTGCATGATGCTCTGCTGCAGACAGAGAAGCTTCTCTTTATTTATTCATCCAACGGCGAGACAGACTTCATAAACACGCCTTGAACAACCACTTCTACATTTTGTGCCACATGTCAGCCGAGTTCTGTAGTTCAGTCTCCCAGCAGACTCTGATTGGATAAGGTTTGTTTAGAAGTGCTATTGTCATTCCGGCGTTTCTATTGCCATAGGAGAGGTGCTCCTAACAAGCTTGTATTAACCCTTAACTAAAATCAAAGCGTGGTCTTTTATTCTGTCTCATTTCAGTGGACATCAAGGCGGACAGTGTCCTGGCTTCGGAGCCCTTATCTCCTTTGGACCTGCGTACAGATTTGAGGATGCTGGGGCCTGGCTCGGACCCCGGACTGTGGGAAAGGCAGCTGCAGCAGGAGCTGCTTCTCATTCAGAAGCAGCAGCAGATCCAGAAGCAGCTACTGATCAGCGAGTTCCAGAAGCAGCACGAGAAGCTGACCCGTCAGCACCATGCTCAGCTCCAGGAGCATCTCAAGGTTAGCACAGCACAGCGTGGCACCGTGCAGATCCAATAGAACAATGCATCAGAACAGCAGATGAGAGCGTAGTGGAAGATAAACAACTCAGCAGTGCTGGGAAATGTGTGTAGAACAAGATTTTAGAGTGAGGTGCAGAGCAGAGCTGTTCTTTGCAGCAAAACAGAAACAAAAACATCTGTGAAAAAGCTGCAGTGGTGTTTGCTGCCTGCTTGCTGCTTTGAGCCCCCGTGTCTCTCAGCTCCAGCAGGAGCTCCAGGCCATGAAGCAGCAGCAGGAACTTGCAGAGAAGGAGCGGCGCTTGGAGCAGCAGCAGCAACAACAGAACCAGCAGGAGAAAGAGCAGGAGAGGCATCGACGGGAGCAGCACGTCTCTAGCATGAGCCTCCGGGCCAAGGAGCGCTCCAGAGAGAGTAAGAGCTCACCACCGTCGTCATCTACATCTTTTTACTGTCAGAGGGCCAAATACACACACACATATGAACAGGAGCATTTCATTCCACCTACTTCCTTCTGGGGAATCATCATCATAATTAGTATTATTATCAGAATAATGGTTGTGGATGCACATGTTGTATAGTTTAATGTAGCCACTAACCCTTTTATCCGTTCCATTCTGGAATAAACTGGTATCTGATTACAAAATGCAGACGTGGTAACAACACAAACTGGTGCTCATCCTTCTGGGTTGTTTTACATTTAATTTGCCCGGGTTAGTTTATGTTTCAAATATACTTTAAATATGGCTAATTGAACTGGATCCTTTCTCTTGAGTTTTAATAGTCAAAGTAAAGACTAACTGGGCAATAAAAACGGATGAGGGTAATTTGAACACCATTCATGAGAAGGACAGGAAAGATGTCAGAGATGAAACTCACAGTACTTAACCAGCTCAGGACCTGCAGCCGGCGGGCGGGGAGACATTTGACACCCGGATTTTGGAGAAACGTCTTTCAAAAGCAGGATGAAAATAGCGTCTGATATAATATTTCAATTCTGTTTTTAACTTATAGCTAATAATAGAGAAGATTCATGACTTTGTCGAGTCAGGTAATATGAAGCTTTTCTCTGCGACTGTAACCAGCTCTCTGCACTGTGCAGCGGCTGATGTAACCACTAGGGGGAGCTCTTCATACACGGGTTGCATGATCAGGGGAAGAGAAAGGGACAATCAGAAGTGCCATTATTGGAAAAAACGTCATTTATTCCGATCACAGCTTTTATGTTTTTATGTGCAACCACATTTATGTGACTTCATATGGTAAATTAGAACAAAGAGCCATTACATGCATGTTAGGGTAACCCCAATCCCTTTGGTTCTGGTTTTTTGGTTTCACAGGTGCGGTGGCCAGCACAGAGGTGAAGCAGAAACTCCAAGAGTTTCTGTTGAGCAAATCAGCAAAGGATCCTGTCGGCAGTGGAGCCAATCATTCTTTTATCCACCACCCAAAGCTCTGGTGCACGTAAGTGCTTTCTGATCAGAAACTAATCTGGGTTATCACGCCACATTGGTCTTTAAAACCCGACCTTTTCTTGTTACCAGGTCCTCCCACCACACATCCTTAGACCAAAGCTCTCCACCTCTGGGTGGAGCATCACCCACCTGCCAGTACACGCTGCCGTCGCCCTTAGAGAGCAAGGACGACTTCCCCTTGAGGAAGACAGGTTTGTGAATTCACCGATATTCATACATGTGTTCTATGTACATGGATGCTGAAATCTGTCCAGGCATGTGTGCAGTTAATGTGACGTATTACTACAATTAATGTCTTTAAATATTAGGAACTCAACATTAAACTCTCCTGGATGATGAAAGATGCAAGTTAACTTAGATGTTTAAGGACTCAAATTAGTTGTAATAGTGATAATAATAAACATCCAGTGTTTAGAGGGGAGAGAATTGGAGAATTTTGTCAAATTAATATTGTTTTTTCAGTGAGGCTTAGCTAAATTCAGGGTTTGTTGCTTTAAAGCTTGTGAAATTCTCTGGGAACGGCTGTGTAAAATAAGATCGATTCATCTTTCTGTTTTTCTTCCTGTACAAGCATAACGGCTTGCTGAGGTCAGAGCTTCATAGTTTAGCTATGAAGTCACAAAATGATATTACGCTTCTCTGTTCATTTGGTCCCGCAGCAGCCTCACTGAGTGTGTGAAGTTCAGGCCCCGTGGTTTTGTGTGTATACCCAGTTTAGAGACCAGGAAGAAGGATCAGACCTTGTAAATAAAACCGTCACAGCATGGCAGCATCAGTTTCAACAGGTCAAAGTAAGCAGCTTGACTTGGTGTTCTTTCTTGTTTTTCGCTTTGATCTTCGACACGTTAGAAACAAAACCAAAATAACAGCTTCACAAAATATTCATACACCATAAAAATGCTTCTACAAGTAAAGGAATGAGGAACAGCGTGCATTTTTTAGCTGCGGTTATCAGGTTTCACTTTGCCAGATGAGACTTCCCGTTTTGATTTAGGGTTGATAAACTCTCTCCAGCCTTCTTCTCTTGCTCTGATCAAACTATTTCTCACTCTTTGAATTCCTGAATCTATATGTGGTCATTTCCTGCTCAGCCCCCTCCCCCCCCCCCCCCCCCCACACACTTCCTGTCTGTCTTTATTAAAGTCCTCTGAGAGTTGGGCACGCGAGGCGGACTCGCACACAAAGGTGGTTTTGTTCACCAAGCTGCCGGCTGTCACTGATAACTGATTGGCAGGTGCTGCCGACTCCGGACTGGCACGGGCAGGATATGGACCTCGACGGGAATGTTTATTTATGCACAGAAAGCTCTCTCACAACAACGTGGAGGTGACTTTAGTGCTCTGAGTCAGACTCCCTGCTGCTCGATGTCAGAACGCTGAGCTGTCCTGGTTGAGATTCACAGAGAAGATTATATGATGCATTTAAAACATTAAAGCTATTAAATAATTATCATCTTTTAAAACTTGGACACAGTTGGACAACCCTGTCATTTACTTGTTGACAAAACCATCTGTGCTTTAAGATCCATAGAGGTCCTATTAAAAATCACATACACACACTTTTGGTCACCTCACCCAACTGAGAAATAGTTCATGCATGGTCACCTAATTGAAATGTTTATTTGAGAAATATTTTTTTTGTTTCAATTCCTGGAGTTAGGATAGAGTCGGCTGAAGGCACGTGATAGTCTGTGGCAAGAGTAGTCGTGGCTGTAAGCACAGTCCCCCGGCTCTGGTCCTGACCCAGTTAAAAGTGTGTGTTCAGCAGGTGCAGGAATGGTTTTCTAAAATAGTACCGCCACGGTAAAACTAAGTCTGAAGCATAACAGTTAAAATACTTCAGGAGTGTGTGCTGGCCAGAATCTGGTGCTACGGTACACATAAGGAGCCCAAGTCACGCCCATCTACTTCCGCACCATGGGTCCCCGGAAGAACAAAAAAAAAAAAAAAAATGAATGCAAGTCAGTGGGGCTAAAAACGCAGTTTTCTGATTCAGCTTGTTATGTGCCATGGATTTCACATAAGATGTCCGTGAATTTAATAGGATGTCCGCAAATTTAATAGGATGTCCGTGAATTTAATAGGATGTCCGTGAATTTAAATACGCATTTTGATACCAAGAATGCGCTCTTTTTCTAAAGGAGGGATACGTTATCTTAGATTTTGTGTGAAAATGAGTCCAGGACTACTGCAGACCACGGTGGGCACCAGAGTAAGAATTTCATTGTGCAGGAACACTCGTTTCCTTCTGCACTCATTTCCTTCTACCCTTGTTTCCTTCTACCCTTGTTTCCTTCTACCCTCGTTTCCTTCTACCCTTGTTTCCTTCTACCCTCGTTTCCTTCTAACCTTGTTTCCTTCTACCCTCCTTTCCTTCTAACCTTGTTTCCTTCTACACTTGTTTCCTTCTACCCTCCTTTCCTTCTACACTTGTTTCCTTCTTTTCTTGTTTCCTTCTACACTCGTTTCCTTCTGCACTTGTTTCCTTCTTTTCTTGTTTCCTTCTACACTTGTTTCCTTCTGCACTCATTTCCATCTACCCTTGTTTCCTTCTAACCTTGTTTCCTTCTACACTTGTTTCCTTCTACCCTCCTTTCCTTCTACACTTGTTTCCTTCTTTTCTTGTTTCCTTCTACACTTGTTTCCTTCTACCCTCGTTTCCTTCTACCATTGTTTCCTTCTACACTTGTTTCCTTCTACCCTCATTTCTTTCTACACTTGTTTCTTCTACACTTGTTTCCTTCTACACTCGTTTCCTTCTGCACTCATTTCCTTCTACCCTTGTTTCCTTCTACACTCGTTTCCTTCTGCACTCATTTCCTTCTACCCTTGTTTCCTTCTACCCTTGTTTCCCTTTAACCTTGTTTCCTTCTACACTTGTTTCCTTCTACCCTCCTTTCCTTCTACACTTGTTTCCTTCTTTTCTTGTTTCCTTCTACACTCGTTTCCTTCTGCACTCATTTCCTTCTACCCTTGTTTCCTTCTACCCTCGTTTCCTTCTAACCTTGTTTCCTTCTACCCTCATTTCTTTCTAACCTCGTTTCCTTCTACCCTCGTTTCCATCTAACCTTGTTTCCTTCTACCCTCGTTTCCATCTAACCTTGTTTCCTTCTACCCTCATTTCTTTCTAACCTTGTTTCCTTCTATCCTCGTTTCCCTTTAACCTTGTTTCCTTCTACACTTGTGTCCTTCTACCCTCCTTTCCTTCTACACTTGTTTCCTTCTTTTCTTGTTTCCTTCTACACTCGTTTCCTTCTGCACTCATTTCCTTCTACCCTTGTTTCCTTCTACCCTCGTTTCCTTCTAACCTTGTTTCCTTCTACCCTCATTTCTTTCTAACCTCGTTTCCTTCTACCCTCGTTTCCTTCTAACCTTGTTTCCTTCTACACTTGTTTCCTTCTACCCTCCTTTCCTTCTACACTTGTTTCCTTCTTTTCTTGTTTCCTTCTACACTTGTTTCCTTCTACCATTGTTTCCTTCTACACTCGTTTCCTTCTACATTTGTTTCCTTCTACACTTGTTTCTTCTACACTTGTTTCCTTCTACATTTGTTTCCTTCTACCCTTGTTTCTTTCTACACTTGTTTCCTTCTACACTCGTTTCCTTCTACCCTCGTTTCCTTTTACCCTTGTTTCCTTCTACCCTCGTTTCCTTTTACCTTTGTTTCTTTCTACACTTGTTTCTTCTACACTTGTTTCCTTCTACACTTGTTTCCTTCTGCACTCGTTTCCTTCTACCCACATTTCCTTCTACACTTGTTTCCTTCTGCACTCGTTTCCTTCTACACTTGTTTTCTTCTACACTTGTTTCCTTCTACCCTCGTTTCTTTCTACACTTGTTTCCTTCTACCCTTGTTTTCTTCTACACTTGTTTCCTTCTACACTTGTTTCCTTCTACACTTGTTTCCTTCCACACTCATTTCCTTCTGCACTTGTTTCCTTCTACCCACATTTCCTTCTACACTCGTTTCCTTCTACCCTCGTTTCCTTCTACACTTGTTTCCTTCTACCCTCGTTTCCGTCTACAATTGTTTCCTTCTTCACTTGTTTCCTTCTACCCTCATTTCCTTCTATACTTGTTTCCTTTTACACTTGTTTCCTTCTACACTTGTTTCCTTCTACACTTGTTTCCTTGTACACTTGTTTCCTTGTACAATTGTTTCCTTCTACACTTGTTTCCTTCTACACTTGTTTCCTTGTACAATTGTTTCCTTGTACAATTGTTTCCTTCTACACTTGTTTCCTTCTACACTTGTTTCCTTGTACAATTGTTTCCTTCTACACTCATTTCTTTCTACACTTGTTTCCTTCTACACTTGTTTCCTTCTACACTTGTTTCCTTCTACACTTGTTTCTTTCTACACTTGTTTCCTTGTACCCTCGTTTCCTTGTACCCTCGTTTCCTTCTACCCTCATTTCCTTCTACACTTGTTTCCTTCTACACTTGTTTCCTTCTACACTTGTTTCCTTCACACGCATGACAGTAATGCTTTGAATCCTTAAATCCTACAACCAATGAACTTTTGAATTGATTATGGGCAGTACTAGTAATTGACTTTGGCAAACAACCGTGACCAAAACATTGTTACTTTTATGTATTTTATGCAAAATTAAATGTGATAGCAGCAGACTCTGGGCCATTAACTAGTACTGGACCTTGAAAAAAGAAATAAACATATATAAAAAACTAAGAACAAATCTCTTCATGTATCCTAATATAATTGTTTTGCAGGGCAATTTATTTTTAAATAAATTAAAAGAAAACAGTGAATAGTAATTACTTTTGTTCTATATGTATGACTTCCACCCCTATAGCCACTTTTTTCTGGGAAGAAATGTTGTTTTGAGGAAATGTAGTCATCGTTGCAAAAATGGTTAAAGATATTGAGATGGTATGAGATCATTGTTGCATCATTTTTGACCAAGGGTCTGAGTTCCTTCAAGCTGAGGCTAAAAAAGTCAAGCTATCTGTATGATTGAACATCAGTATAGGCAGCAGGTTCCCTCGGTTTTTTCAATAGACGTAGGGTAAATTTTCATTTTTATACCAGTCTTTGTACCTCTAAAACAGGGGTGTTCAACATTTCTGAGACAAAGGCAAAAGTAGTCTAGTTACAAGTTTCTGTGAGGCCACAGAATTTTTTAAGTTAATAAATACAAAATAATAATTTATGGTAGAATTTTTTGTCTTTGCATTTAAACAACACTCCTAGGATAATCGTTCTAGCAAAAATCTGACCATAACGATGACCATCTGACCATAAATCTGCATTAACATCCAACCAAACCATTCTAGACACGCAATTGGGGGCTGCACAAAGTCACACTGAGGGCCGCCAATAGCCCCCAGGCCTAACTTTGGACAGTCCTGCTCTGGAAGAATGTGTTTTTCCCTTATGCACTTAAAACCGACTAAAAATGGCACCTTCACCTAACAACAAAACCTATTTGTTTGGGTCTGTATACATTTTATTATTAGCTGGCTGTTGCAAAAGATTCTTTTAGCATAAAAACAGCAGTTAGCTGAAATTGTAATTCCAGGGTAGAAACTCATTTCAAGTGACACCCAACTCTCCACATGGCAGCATGCAGAGATGAAGTCCTTGGTCAGCACCACCTGTTTACCAGACGGTGCTCCTCTGTAACTTTGGTTAAAAAGCCGTGTTTGAAAAATAAGCATTCATTTCTTCAGTTCAGCAGTAGTTAAAACAACCGAATCAGCAAAATGCCCGACAAGTGTCCTGATTTCCAGAGAACACACCTCAGCTTTTCACACAGCCATCTGTCCAGATCCAGGCTGCAACAGAAGCACAGACGATGACACCGGAGATGTCTCTCTGATCGATTCACGATCGCCCGCGTCAGCTGACGTTGTTGTTAAAAAGACGTCAGAGCAGACGTGTCCCAGGTGTGTTGCTGCCTGTTGCTCCAGTATTTTTATTTTTTTCCCCATGGAGACGTATGAGAAAGTGTTTGTTCCTGGGCTGCTGTCTGGCGTTCCCGTGGCGACCAATTGGGATGCGTAGCTTGGTGGTTGCAGTGTGTAAAAATAGAAAGCAATCAAGGCAGCAGGGCGTGAAGCACAGAAAAAAAATCATGCGACTCCCGACAGCGCTTCCTCTCCATTTATCTCTCCTGCCTCATTTTCTTCCTCCCCAGCTTTTTCTTTTACCTCACACCCACAGGATTAGAGGTCTGTGCCACGTTTTAGGGAAGAAGGTTCTGCTGCTTTTGACTAAATCCAGAAATAGCAGCATCTGGGCTGCTCGTTTTTAGCTGTGCCCTCATGGCTGATCCCTCTCCTCCCCACAGTGGTTCACGTCACAGCTGCACTCTCCTCTGTTTAGACGTACGATCCAGGAAAGGTACTTTTAATTATTCATTAGAATTATATGATTGAACCAGGTTTGCTATTGTATAACAGAAGGTTTACGTAATAAAAGATTTAGTCCCAAAATGTGAGCATATCTGCTCTGGTTATCTATTAGAGTGAGTCAAGGTGAGATTTAAAAAGCTGAAAGAGTTTGATGTGAGTGCGATGATAAAAAGGAGTTCCATTCATTTAACTGGTTTTCATTCAGCCTTCAGTCTCGGTAAGAAAGCATCCAACATCATTTATCTGATCTAACCAACAGCTTCAGTATAAAATGGGTATGAGGAACTCTTTTGCTGCAAAACCTTTAATCATGATGTAAAAACGAGGTCCTGCTGCAGCCTGTAGATCCGTATTGATTGTGATGTCATCCTTCTTTCCCAGTCACAGTTGGAATCTTGACAACGAGAGGCTGACCGTTAGTTCTGTGTAACAAAGCTAGAAATGTGGTTTTGGACTGAAGACTTCACACTGAGGGGATTTCTTCCCTGCTGACTTGAGGTTTAAAACTGATCTAAAAATGGAAAGAGAGACAAGACGCCATTTTTTTTACTGAAATCCATCATCTCAAGCAGATGGGAAGTTTAAAGACATCCTTTTAGGACTGATAGTAAATTAGCATAAAGTTGGAACAGAGGCAGCGTGTAAGGGGGTGTGCTCGGACCGGGTCCGGGTACTTCTGGATTGCATTAGGAGCAGGTTGTGTGTGTGTGTGTGTGTGTGTGTGTGTGTGTGTGTGACATCTGCATGTTTTTGTGTTAGTTTAACTGTTGCTACTGTATCAGACTGTGGTCACCGGGGCGGCAGGTAGCTTTTGACCTAATGTGGTCCAGATGATGTGGAAATGAGCCCAATCCAGACTCACTTAACTCGCCTCAAACCTGCTGAAATTGATCTTTAACTGAATTAAAACATTTCGTTAATACTTCTAACTGTGTTTTCTCTTTTCTTAATTTAATTTTTTGATCAGAAAACAATTCTTATAGCTTTATAGGATTGTATCAGTTAACCATATTTTATAATCAAATGAATCTCTCATGATTTTCAAGGCCAAGATGACTTGGAGAGCATTTTTACTTGTTATTCTTGATCAGCCACTGCATGTCTCAGCTGGTAGATGCTAACCATTAGCCTTAGCAACTCAACATGGCAGAACTCCATCAGGCTTGCATTTGGGGAGACCAAACACAACATTGCAAAGCAAATGGAGTCAGTGTTCGATGTGTGTGTGTGTGTGTGTGTGTGTGTGTGTGTGTGTGTGTGTGTGTGTACTGGTGTTGGTGTGTGTGTGTGTGCTTGTGCGTGTGTGTGTGTATGTGTGGACTGGTGTTGGTGTGTGCGTGCGTGCGTGCGTGTGTGTGTGTGTGTGTGGACTGGTGTTGGTGTGTGCGTGCGTGCGTGCGTGTGTGTGTGTGTGTGTGTGTGTACTGGTGTTGGGGTGTGTGTGTGTGTGTGTACTGGTGTTGGTGTGTGTGTGTGTGTGCTTGTGCGTGTGTGTGTGTGTGTGTGGACTGGTGTTGGTGTGTGTGTGTGTGCGTGCGTGTGTGTGTGTGTGTGTGTGGACTGGTGTTGGTGTGTGTGTGTGTGTGTGTGTGTGTGTGTGTGTGTGTGTGTGTGTGTGTGTGTGTGTGTGTGTGTGTGTGTGTGTGTGTGTGTGTGTGTGTGTGTGTGTGTGTGTGTGTGTGTGTGTGTGTGTGTGTGTGTGTGTGTGTGTGTGTGTGTGTGTGTGTGTGTGTGTGTGTGTGTGTGTGTCTGCCTGCTCTGTCTTCTCCATCCCCAGTGAGTCGTGGAGGATGGCTGCTTATACTGAGCCAGGATCCTCTGGAGGTTTCTTCCTGCTAAAAGGGAGTTTTCCTCTCCACTGTCGCTGCATGCTTGCTTAGTATGAGGATTGCTGTTGACACTAGTCAGTGACTCAGTGCAACCTGCTGAGTTCCTTATATAGGAAACTTTTTACTGATTGGCTTAATGAACTGACCTGTACTGGGATGTTTATTATGTGAAGTGCCTTGAGACGACTCTTGTCGTGATTTGCCGCTTTATTAATAAACTTGAATTGAATTGAGTGGTGTTGTTAGCCAGTCAGAGGCGAGACGTCTGAATATCAGAGAGAAAAAAAACTACAAATCCTGCCATGTTCAGCTCAACGCTGAACAGGCTAAATTCCTGAAACAGGAGTTCCAGAGCTTGACTCACAAGGCATTCATTCACACTAGAGACCACTGCAAATGTACTGAAAAAACAATTGAACTTGGTCTTTAAAGCTTATGTATGGAAATCTTACATTTTTTAAATCATGAGCTGAAACTAACACAGAATGTATTTGCATTATTACGTAGCATCCGAGCCAAACCTGAAGGTCCGATCCAGGCTGAAGCAGAAGGTGGCAGAAAGGAGAAGCAGCCCGATGTTGAAGAGAAGAGACGGAAACATCATGACTCCATACAAGAAGCGGGCGCTGGAGCTAATGGGTAACATCCGTTTTTACCTAAACTGAATGTTGTTGCACTATATTTGAGAAATAATATGTTAAATTCTGGTTCATGAAAATAACATAAGTTGTGTGTTCTTTAATTATTTTTTACACATTTAACACTCGTAAAACAAAATGTGTAAAATAGGATTTATTCTATAGCAACCGAAGGAGCTGGGATTCCAGGTCCGTGTACTAGTGTTTGGACTGTGAGTATATGAACGAACCCTTTGGCTTTTTTTTTTTTAGATTCAGCTCCAACTAACAGTGCCCCTGGATCTGGCCCTAGCTCCCCCATAGGGGCCTCCAGTGCCTTGGGGGCTGAAAACGGTCCCTCTTCTCTGCCAACCACTACCAAAACCGAGGTGGGTGTATAAACCGCTACAATATGTATTTAGTATTGTGTTTGGAAATAAAATTTTTGTTTTACCATATTAATTTATCATTATACCCAATATTTCTGCTGCTTTAAGAAATTAAAAGCTGTGAGAGATAAAAATTAGAAATGATTATTTCTGTTTGTTTCCTGTTTGACTTCTGGTGATCTTCCTGCCCATCGTCTCAGCAGGGACACCTAGTGTTCAGGAGGAGAATTATAACGTGTTGTAGTATAATCTTGGCTTTACGCTCGACTAAAACGACTTTCCACCCTGACACTGAGAGTCATAACTTGACTCAAATGTCTCATGTCTATATATAAAACTGAATTTTTGAACATCCAGATGCTGGAAGTCACAGTTGTGTAAACTTTATCAGATGTTGTCAGGTGTTCCAGATGCGCATTTTCGAAGTGAAAAAAAAAAATCTGCAGCTTGGCTGCGAGGTTGCGTTTCTGTATTTGCCTGCTGCTCGTTTTGAGGCGTCTCTCAGTAGATTCCTGACTGGTTTATGGACCAGAACTCCCTTTAGACTGAGCTCATGAGGCCGGCTGCTGCAGAATGTGGCAGATATGACACATCAGCGAACAGTCTGTACAGAGCAGCTGTGTTTGCTTTAACCATTACTGTTTACTTTCTCAGGGACCTCCAGTGACACCAAGTAGGGAGAGACGCCCTGACACCGGGCTGAAGGTTGGGGCTTAGGAGGACACATGAACTGTGGATTTTAATTGATATCCCAGGCGCTGGTAGCCAGAGACACCCACATGCTAACAACATTAACAAACGGGTTTGCTATTGTGTCAGCCCAAGCTGAGACTCTCACGAAAGTCATGGGTTGACTGCGGGGCTGCTCATGGACCCCATGCCTGCTCCAAAAGCAAGGCGTGTTTGTGTACCGTTACATTAGGTATCCCTTTTCAGAGGGAACTGGTCCCTCGGGTCAAATATGGGCCGGATATCCCCGTACAGGTCACTGAGCACTGGCAGGGGTTGGAAGGATAAACATGGCTGTTCCAAAGCCACATGCTGCGCCGCGGCTCTGCTGGGTACAGGAAGTATGCCCCAGTGCTGATGATCTCTGAGAGAGTAGCCTGAGGGTGGGGACCGACTGGGAGCTGAAGAACCGAGGAACAAGCTGCAGATTCAGACATTTTCATGTTTTTTTAGCAGTATTTTATCTGTGCTGCTGCCACGCTTTGATCATCTTGCTTCTATAATATCATCGTTCCTTTCTCCCTATCATGATGCAGTCATGCTTTCATGTTGAGACTGCCCATGACATCTCCTTGAATCTTTCTGTCTTGCTCTTCCCTGCATGTGTGATGTAGAGGTGGCCTTCCCAGCCAAGATTATTCCGACCCGAGGGCTCCGTGTCCATGCTGAGCTTGTACACGTCTCCATCTTTACCCAACATCTCCCTGGGACTCTCTACAGCATCCACACCGATGAGTGTAAGTACAACTTCTGCAAGTATTCTCACATGTAACCTGATCAACACTCATTCAGCAGATGCAGGGTTTTCATCTCAGTGTGTGAGCTGCTAAAGCAGCCATCAGTGGCTGTCTGGGTTCTCCGTGTGGGCACGGGTCACTGACCTGTGGCCCCAAATGATTTTATTGGGCTTAGATAAATATTGTTCTGGAGTGTCTCGTGTCAGCTGTGCTCTTATCCTCCCTCGCTTTTACCTCATTTATCACAGCTTTAAAAAAGTCCAAGTGCTCTCAAGTGCAAGCCCTGATAACATGGCTCATGATAAATCATCCTTTAGCTCAGTGGCACATTCCACAGAAGCCTGTTTCATCAGCTTTTACCCGATGAAGCTGTCTCTGTAACTCACACTGAGCTTTAAACCACGAGAATACGTTTCATCCAATAGAAACAGCTGCATCGTTTCTAACTTAACCGTAGGAATGAGAAGAAACACCTAAATGACACCAGTGCCTCTCACTGTTCTCTTCTCTTTCAGGCTGCTTTGGGGTTGAAAGACAGAACAACAGAAATCAAACATGGGCTGCCTGGGCACCTGTTGGGCCCTGTGCCCCTTCAAACGGGCCTGGAGTCCAAAGTGAGCCCCAGTCATCAGGCTCTCCTCCAGCACCTCCTCCAGAAGGAGCAAATCAGGCAACAGAAGATAATCTCCTCTGGTAAGACCGTTACACTACATGTAGCTTATTTTCATAAAAAGCAGGAAAAAAGCGACATTTTATAATATTTTGTTTTTAGGTCAAGGCTCCCACCATCAGTCCCCGCTGGCCATGAAGGATCGGCCCTCCACCAGTCGCCCTAAGCTACCAAAACACCGACCTTTGAACAGAACCCAGTCAGCGCCGCTGCCTCAGAACGCGCTGGCCCAACTTGTCATCCAGCAGCAACACCAGCACTTCCTGGAGAAGCAGAAACAGTACCAGCAGCAGGTCCATATAAATAAGGTATGATGCTGAAGTCATCCACAGGGCAGGTTTTGACTGTCAGACTGCTTTTCGCCACATTCTGTGCCCTTTTTGGTTCTCATGAGACGACATTTTACTGCAGGAAGCCTTAAATACACAGATGCAGTTCTATTTTTATGTATTTATGAAAGCGTCGGTGGCAGCTCATGTTTACAGACCTGCTCTCTGAAATCTGCTGTTAGTTCTGCAAACTAAGGAACCTCTGCCTTACTTCCAACAGGGAAGAAATCCTTCCCCTGCACTCATTCTGTTATCCTAGTTAAAGCATTGCTGCTGTTCACATGCTAATGCTGTGAAATTGGATTCATCAGAAGAAAAAAATAGTGCCTCGAACGCATTTTGTCCTTCCTAACAATATTATTGTTCCTGCGAGCCGACCGAGGCGACCTGGCTGTGCACAGCCTGTCATTATGCCGGTACGCAACGTGTGTGAGGTGGCAGCCGCAGTCAAAGGCAGCATTGTGTGAGCTCATACCGGGTTCTTACAGAACCAGGGGAACCATTTAGCAAGTCACACGTAGACATAATAAAAATCCCTGCGAGCATCAATACAGCTGCTTTCTGTGTCGTTAACAAAGCGATTAGCTGGAGTCACCAAAATGAGAGGCAGCAGCGTCTTTGGAAACATTTCACCGGGCCTCGCTCTGATCAGGCCAATGAGATTGCCGGTAAAGCCTCTTTAAGTGGAGGTTATAAATGGCCACTAATCAGGGATGAGCCTTTAGTCTTTATTGAGAGGGAGCCCTGAAACATTGCTCTAATGAATTTCCTAGCAGTTCTGTGGTTGTTTTTAAACGCCCTTTGATTCTATTTTTCCATTGCTGGTAACAGCAGGGGGCGACTAATAGAAAGCTCCGCCAGCTCAGGGATCTTAGCAGTGTTTACTAATGCCACGCTAAAGAGACTCATTCTTACAGCCGAAAGGGATTTTTGTAGAAGGCCTCCATTCTGTACGTGGTGATGTTGTCGATGCTGCTTTGAGAGCCCTCTTGTGGGCAAACAACCAGCTCCCTTTCCACAACACGGCATCAAAAATGATTTTATAAAGATGATTTTTTTCTTCTGAGTTCCTTTATTCTGTGGTTTTTAGATGAAAAATGTCCACGGACACAAACCTTTGATCCAAGACTTGAACCGTTTATTATCCAAACACAGAAATGTCACCGTGTTGTTGGGGATGTGCAAACAATTTAATCTAGTCATTTTTTTAACAGTTTGCTTCCACTAAGTGTGATAAGTGTAAGTCTTCTCACCGTAGTCAGGCGCTAAGTGACCAAAAAGAGATACAGAGCAGGTGAAACGTTATTTTAGCCTGAAGACTGTTAAATGATAAATGGTAAATGGCCTGTATTTGATATAGCGCCTTCTTGAAACCATAGCGCCATCGGTCCCTCCGACCACCACCAGCAGGCAACGTGGGTTAAGTGTCTTGCCCAAGGACACAACGACAGCGACAGACAGAGCGGGGCTCGAACCTGCAACCTTCCGATTATGGGGCGAGCACTTAACTCCTGTGCTTTCCCAGAATATTTGTTTGTGCAAGCGGAGCATCAGCTCGTTTTGAAGGAGAAACTTACTTTCCCTGCATGAGAACAACGGCACAAGAGAGGGCTAAAGTTTCCCTTCGTTTCCATGGAAACAACTTTACTCCTCTTGTGTGAAAGCAAACGACCAGAATGTATTTGATCGAAAAAGCTTTAAATACATGTGGGAGTCAGCAACATAAATACAGGAATATAATATATTTATTTTAATAGTCTTATTAGTTTTAATGTTTTAAAGCATTTTATCTAAATGATAATATTATATAAAAACGTGTACTTCTAGAAACGTTTTAAATCACTGAAACATTAAAAAGACTTTTTGTTAAACGACTACAGATGGTTTCAGGGCATCAGCATTACAACTTCTTAACTTGTTTTGCAGCTGTTATCTAAGTCCATCGAGCAGCTCCGTCAGCCCAGCACACACCTGCAGGAGTCCGAGGAGGAGCAGGAGCAGATAGAGGAGACTGAGAGCATGCAGGAGGACAGGCTGCCCCCTACAGGAGTCATCCGGAAGCACACGCTCAGCAACAGCAGCAGTGGCGGCTCGAGCAGCGAGCTCCAAGACGCTCACTATGGGGTCATCAAGGTCAAAGAAGAGCCGGCTGATAGTGAGGACGAGGCTGTGACCAGTCAGCGCCTAGAGTCTGAGCAGAACACCTATCTGCACCAGGTCAAAGGGAGACTGGTGATAAGAGCCATGATCTAAGGAGGGGACCTTAAAGCCACACACACACACGCACGCACGCACGCACGCACGCACGCACGCACACACACACACACACACACACACACACACACACACACACACACACACACACACACACATACACATACACATACACATACACACACACACACTCAGTAGGCAACACATGACCTCTTCTTCCACTCGTCCGACTCTCTTCAGACTCTCCGTCTGTGATCTTTGTGTGGTGATCTCTGTAAATAAACCTTTGTCTGTAAATATAAAAACTATTTAGTCTAACCTTTTTAAGCGCTGCTTTGGTCTCTTTGAGTCTGCTGAGCTGAACGGAAGAATTAAAACAGCTTGTCTGTACATATGCTGTGGACTGTTTAGCAGGTGTGCAGCTTCATGTCCCCACTCTGTACATTTGTGCTCCTTTAAGTACTTTGTAATTGGGAATAATCAGTCTTTGTTGTTTGTTAAGAGGATGAAAACACTATATGTACTTAATTTTATTTTACTTTGAAAATCTGTGACAACGTTCAGCGTTTGATGGTCTAACGAGGAGTAACGAACACCTGTCTTAGAGAGAAAGCACGCCTCAGTCCTAATGGAAGGCTGTGCTATACGAGTGCTTTTACCACTGGACTGTGTTGCCATTTGAAAGGATTTTGAAGCACTATAAATGCAACGTGAACTCTATGAATCCATCCTGCTCTCTTTTCTCTCAGAGCAAACCCAGAGCTCCTCTCCTGTCTCACCCTCTGGGTCTGAATCAAAGCTCAACGAGGTTCCCGCCCGGCTTTCAGCAGAGGAGTCAGACGGAGTGGAGAAGGAGAGAGGGTCGGGCAGGAAATGCCTTTTAGAAGCCAGCAGTTGGAGTGATTCATGTGTGCAGGAATGCTGAGAGAGGAGGACCGAGAGTTGGAGGAGTCCAAGGGGCCAGGCTAGAGAACTGATTTACTGTCAAGGCGAATTACAAAGTGAGTGGGGATATGGTTAAGAGACTCCTTTTTTTAAGGGGAATCGCTTCCTTCGTATTCCCTCGTGGCATGCTTACCTCGACATGCAGGTTTGATGTTACTTAAGAAAAAAAAACCTAGAGGAGACCTTCTTTTGTGATCCCATTTCCTCCCCAAAAAGTGCCCATTGAGACGTGTATAGTTTGTCTTAAAGTGATGAGTCTACATGTATTTAATAGTCCTGATCCTTTCTGTTTCTGTTGTAACGTTGGGTAAATGTTTAAAAAAGGGTCCTGCTGTAAGGCTTCGTGTTTGGATTCATGTCTGCCCTCCGCTGTACGGTCAGGTTGTCCAGGTTTTATGTTTTTAGTGTAAGTAAACACAATCAGAACAATGCAAGGCCTGTTCTCCTGCTCCTTTGATTTGATTATAATGAGAAGGCCTTCGCTGCCTCTGAGTGCGTGTGTGTGTGTGTGTGTGTGTGAGTGTGTGAGAGGGGGTGGAGGGAGTTAGAGGGGGGTCCTGTGGTTTGTTCACAGTTTGCATTTCTTTTCTTTGTTGCCTTGTGTGATAAACTTTTCTTTCTTTTTTTAAAATAAAGCTAATTTACCTCAGATTTCTTCACCTTTGATTGTTGTTTCATTTCATCTCAACAGCCTTTAAAAAAGTATTTGGCGTTGTTGTGGTTAGTTTAGAACAAACAACTCAAAGCGCTGGCTAGACCAGCGTGGCTTTCCCACAACTATTCCTGCGACTCAGCTGTTTACTTGCAGGAGGAATATTCGTGCCCCTCTGCAGGGAGCTTAAGGGACTTTAAAATGTTTCTTTGATGTGAACAAGCAAGGCTCTGTGTGAAAGTATAGCAGCGTTTCAGATAAGGTGAGCTGGTGATATATGACATGCATGAATACTTTCAAACTCAGCTTTAGCAATTTCACAGTGAGATCAGGAGGGACTGATCGAGCTACACTCAAGACGAGACTCGGGAAGTTCACTCTTGGTCTGATGTTACTTCTGGAGGCTTCTGGTTAAAGTTCATGTTGGAGGTGCAGAAAAAAAAACGTTCAATGCTCGACTCCTAAATTGTTTTTGGAACATTCCCGACAGCACCTAAAGCATTTTCACAAAGGTGTAGAGTTACGTCACGTTAGGAGGTATTTGACTGGAATTAGACTGTTTCTTTCCTACGTAGGCTCCATCTGTCTTGGGCTTCAGGCCCTTGTGATTTTAAACGAGCTGTTAAAGGAAGAAAAAAAAGTAACGAAGCACAAATCCATCTGCGCTGCCCTTCCCCGGCTGCCCACGGAGCCTGTTGTAAAAGCAAATAAGCATTTTTTAAAGGTGTAAGGAAGTAAGAAAGACTCACGCCAACTTACTCACTCCAAATGGGCAAAACTCAAAGTGAGACCTGATTTAATCAGCTACAGGCTACAAGGAGGTACTTTAATGCATTCATCACACACACACACACACACACACACACACACACACACACACACACACACACACACACACACACACACACACACACACACACACACACACACACACACGCGCGCGCGCGCGCACACACACACACACACACACACACACACACACACACATGCACGCATGCACACACGCACACACACACACACGCACGCACACACGCACGCACACACACACGCACGCACGCACGCACGCACACACACACACACGCACACACACACACACGCACGCACACACGCACACACACACACACACGCACGCACACACGCACACACACACACGCACGCACACACGCACGCACACACGCACACACACACGCGCACACACACGCACGCACGCACACACACACACACACATGAATACATGGATGGTGATTATGAAGATAAAAGATCCATCAGGTACCGTGGAGAGTCTCGACTGGTGAAGGTGATGCAGTCAGGAGACATTCAGGAAGAGGAGAGCTTCTTCATGAGCCAGACCACGCTGTTTTAGACCTCTGGGAGCAAAGGTAGGCACAATGATAGAACATCACCGTCTGCACTATTGAGGTGCTACTTTAGCTTCGAAGCTTTCAACTGAATGAGTTCAAGGTAAATCTGTAGGTGATTAGAAGATTCACAAAACCTAAAAGTTGGTGCTTGTTTTAAAGTTGGGACCGTCATCCTTTTGCTGCAACATTTCTCATGAAGACAGCACTTTAAGGGATCAGGTCTGGACACTGTTCTCCTTCACTGACAGCAGACCAGCTCAGCATGCAGACTGATGCTTTTGCAGGGGCGGTTAACAAAATCTGTTGGAAATAAAGAAGACCTTGATCCAAAACTGAGAACTCACATTGAGAATGGTTGACACTGATGAAAAATCCCAGACTGGACTCATTCGGGTTTTCACAGAAGTGGAGAAGCAGCGATGTACTTTATCAGCTCAAAGTTGGTGTTTATTTATGTTTCTGAGGAAAATAACGTGACTTCATAATTTTCTTCCTTTCGTTTCTCTCGATTTCATGACTCATTTGTTTGTTTTGTTCACTTTGGAAACAAAATCTTCCACTGATGCTTTTCTGTTTATCAATCAGGCGGCGGCACAATTTCTGATAATGAATAAATGTGATTAAACACACTCCTCACTCTCATTTCTAAAGGTTTAGGATTTTTCTGCACTCCAAATTTAGTCTCTTTGATTTTTGAAGCTAAAACTAGACTCTTCCCCAGATCTGTTAGATCGTCCAGTTTATTTCTTTAATGTTTCAAATGCTTTGAACTTGCTGTGAAGAGGACACGAGGTCGGTCTCATCACATATCTTTAACATTTTGTGACTCATCAGTTACGTGAGAATTCTGAATGAATCAAGTTCTTAGTTCATCTTTAAGGTTTTCTTAGCTGAAGATTTTATTCAGTTTATAAACTTTTCTGAGACAATCTATCCAAGCATCCCTTCAAGACTCGTTATATAAATAAACGGTGGGTATTACAATACAGATGAATGAGGAAAGACACAGAAGGGACTTATTTTTATCCCAGAGTGGAAAGTTTTATCATCTCAGTCTGACAGTGATGTGATGCGGTGTGATAATCGACACGCTTACAAAGGCAAAGAGCTCTTTAGGTGAGGGGAAAAAGCCTCAACTTCAACTCATCTAATAAATCTCTGCTGAAGGGGAACAGCTCATTGAGAACAGCTCACCAAAAAGGTTCTGCCTCCTCTCACCGGGTCACGACAACGATGACAGGGATAGATCTCCAACTGCCAAGAGGCCGAGACAAAAAGCTGCCAAGTTCTTCTCTCCTGGTTTGGTTTTTGCAAACGTCGTCACGCTGGAACAACAACTTCTCGTACCTCATAAACAAAGACAGAGCGTGTCTGGAATTTCTATTGTTTTTTATTAAATGCAATCAGGAAAGACATTTTCCCAGATTTCTGAATCAAATTTAGCTCCTGAAACATGTCTGGGTTGGCTTTATGCAAAGACTGGATGAAGACCTTTCAAAGGTTTTAATGAGCAGATGTGTGTGTGTGTGTGTGTCTCCTGTTATGATGTAACTTTAGCTGTTGTTACTGTTGATATGAAAATTCAGCCATCATTAACACCAGGATGTTCAAGCAAAGGTGAAAAAACCAGTTCCTTTATGACTTATATTTTTACAAAGGTTTTGCCCATTTTCGATAAATAAATCTGCGTTAGGGTGAGCAAACACGTCCGAATGTAGACAGAAGTATTTTCCGAGGACCAAGTCTCACATTTTAATAACTGAAGGGAATATTTTAAATCCACAGAGCAGTTGAGATCCTGACCTCGGGCTTCTCAGACCAGCTGTGGAAACACGATTTTGCGGCTTCCTTCAGCCAGGTGGCGAGGTACACACCTGTTGATGGGAGCGGTGTGAGTTGGGATCATCTGCAGTTAAAGTTTTTACTGAAATAGTTGAGATGTGGTTGAGTGTAAACATGGCGCTAAAGCCCGCTGACACATTCATCCGGCTCATTTGGGTTAGGGTCATGGACTCAGTCGTGTCTTCAGTGTAAAGACACGTTTAACAGGACATCAGTGCTGTTCAAGAGGACGGGTGTTTGGGGGCATTAGAGGGCTACCTGCTTCTTGAACAAGCAGACAGCTCCTTTAATATTAGTATTTAGCAGTATTTTATCCCAGTTATGAGCCGATTCTTGTCCTGTAAAAACAATCTAGGGGAAGGATATCTGTGTCATGTAAAATATCATCCTTTACTGCGAGAGCTTGACATGTAGAGCTGCGTAGAAACCTCATCATTTTAGGTAAAGAGGAAGTCACATGTCAGGTGAACTTTTCTGAGCTTCGCCCACCAATGCTGAGGATGACAGAAAACATTTCAGAAATTTTCCAGCCCATTTTTGTGTCTGTCAGGATTTGTATGAATCTGGCGGTTAGCTGTAGGATGTGGTGTTTTTCTTTCCATGTGCTAACCATGCTCAAGGTGCGCGGCTGTGCTGCGGTGGTGGTAAAACGGGAGGTTTGTGAAGGGAATAAAATTAAAAAAGCCCTGATGTCAGATAGACGAGCAGTGGCTGTTTGTTGTGTCCTTTTTTCTGTCGTTGAAACCAAGATTTCTCATTTTGATCCCTTCTGAGTGATAAATCTGTGAGACAGACTTAAATTGGTCTGCAAGTGTTTGTCTTCGTAAACATCGATTTTGCAGCTTTCTCTGAACCAACCCAACACACAATAGTTCATACTTTACAAAAGAACTTATTTAGGAATTCCCCACGTTGTCTTCCGAGATGAAACACCAATCACACCAGAATGATAGCGTTCATTTACCAGTACGACTCCCTGACTGGTGTCATCCATGTTTTCCTCTAAGCCTTTTAAGGATTAATATCCCCCTCAAGTTTAATGAGATAGGAGACCTGGGGGAGTCCTCCTCCTGCTGTGTTCAAAGGCCTTCCAGCTTTAGTGGTTGCTTTATCTTGGCCACCGACTGACCCAGCTGATAGGTGATACTGAGGAAGCACAGTGACACGGGGATGTGACCTCTTCTACCAGCCAAACCTGGGCTCTCCAGTTTGAGAGATTCCCATCAGAGACGCCATGCACCCCCAGGATATCTGTCTCTGTTCGTTCATTCCTCTTAACAGCCATTTTTACTCACCTTCCTCCCTTACTGCCCCCCAAAAATGGAGCTCATAAAAAGCAAACCTGCCTCTCTGCAGCTATTGGACCGGACATGTGTGTAAGTGTTGCTCAGCACCGGGCTGACACTCTCAGGCCTCATTACTTAGAGGTTTCTTATGCAAGTCCTCCCACGTAGACTCTTTCAAGTTCCAGTTTAGATCATCTGATATTTAGCCATTCATGGCATGGAACCACTGAGATCCTCTTTATGGCAAAGTAAGGGGTTTAATTTGGAAAGCAGCCACCAGGCAACCACAGGGAGGCAGAAATAATGGCCTGAGTGAAACACTGAATAATCTAAACCTTAAACAAATGATCAGACATACACAAATCTTTCAGTAACTGTTCAGATAAATCATTTTTAAAGTAGAACTCATTGTTTTTAGAGAAGGTTTCCAAGTTCCTTCATTATCAATGAAAACCAAGCTGATAAAAGGAAAACTCCATCATAGAGCAAGTGAAACATCTCACTAAATAA